ACAGTAAAAAAAAATGCAAGCAGCAATAGCAATTCTGACGAAAATGGTGGCTTGAATAGTAAGCAAATCGATTCGCTTAATATAACTAACTCTGACGGTAATCATAACAACAATAGTAGTGAATTGATTATTGCTGAAGCTTCAAAAATCCTATTGAAAAATGGCTTAAATGGCTCAAAGGCAGCAGCAGCCGCTGCTGTAGCTATTGCCACAGCAATTTTATTGACAGCTGCTGCAAATTTAATAGTAGTCCCTCCAAATGTTATCGCAGTAATAGCATCTGTGGAGAGTCCGAAATCTTCGTCAATTGCTAACTTTTCATCTGTAAATCTAAACAGCATTTGCGCCCAACAGCCCGCTAATAGTGCCAGCAACAGTATAAGTTATCATCATAACAATGCACACAATGTAACCATACCTAGCAATCAAATTTACGGAGGTCGCTTACAATTTTTTAAAGGTTCACCAATATGAAGAACATAGTGGGTTTAGTTTTAAGATTATCGCTTTTTTCAGATGGTAAATTTATATTGGAGCTGGCACGTTCGAAAGACGATGACAAAAGTGGTTGGGTTTCAGTATCATGAGAAGATAATACCATTCCATCACCCGCTAGGTCATCGACATTAACTCATTTTACATTGATCACAGGGGCTACACAATCGCTATTAGCGGCGTCTCCAGCTGCATTGACCGTTCCAAAGAACGAATGTTCCAAATCATTGTGTTGTGAGTCTTTAATGTTTCATATCAACTTTTTATATAAATCTATACACAAATAATTTCTTCCCTGTCTTTGTAGGTTCAGATGACACAATCATCACCATTTCAATGGGATCATCGCTGGAAACAAGTGACGTCTCGAAAAAAGACCTAAATGATAAGAATAGTATTGAAAAAGAAAGCAATGGCCATCGTGAAGGCGACAATCGTCAGTTTGTTGATGGCGATGTTCAGAATGGCTTAACGAAGAACAAACTTGATAATGGAATTGTCGCCAATGAATCTGACATCGATGCAATAAAAGAGAAAATATCATATATAGTTGCGATAAAAAAATAATGACAATTCCCTAGGCTGTAATCACAACAAAGACGCGAAGAACAAAAACTTCAAATTTTCGTGAAAGCAGTGAAGTTGCACTCGTAGGAATAAATTTTAAGGAAAGGACGAAACACTTCTTTTGTTTTGGATTTGCATGCAGTTAATGAAGAATCGTTCTGATTAAAGCGGACTTTATCGTTTTCTAATTGGCCATTGGCCATATATGAGAAAAAACGCAGACTTAATAACGGCAAAAATCAGTTAATGATATGTTTATCAAGTGTCAGGTTTCGATCTCATCTTTTGGTGGTTTAAAAAATTATAATATGAAGTCACGTCACTTAATGGAAGGCCTTTAATGGTGACGAAGCTAAAAAAAAGCAAGATGTGTACCACGCTTGAGTGAAATTTTTACTAAAGCCAAAAAATTATATCGATCACAGCGCACTTAGCTGGCGGATTTTCCTAAACTTTCCAATTCTAACCCAATGACAGAAACTGCGCAGAGTTCCAAATAATCAAAAAATAAAGTTAATTTTTTATCGGAGGCAACAAATGGCACGAGGAAGTGTTGGACTTAATACGCGGCTAACGTTGACATAGGGTAGAAAAGCAGATGGTAGAGCAACTTACTTAAACGTTCGGGCAATTTTCGTAAACTTTTTTCGATAAAAGGCGAATTATGCCCCATGAAAACAAATCCAGTTGAAATGGATTTTAAAAGGCATATGCACAAAGATGGACAACAGCTCAAGCTTTAAAAGTGTTAACGAACCGCACATATATATGTGCATATGCACAAGCATGTTATTTTCAAATGTATATTTAAATTTATTCAGAACAAAATATCTGCAATAAAAAAGTGAAAATAAAAGAAAATTTAATAAACTAAATTATATAAGTTTACACACAAAACTGTTCTTGACCAAGTGTTGAAAAATATTAGAGAAAATACTTCATAATAACTAGAAAGAATTTAAAGTGTCATAAAATTCTCGGGATCTCCTTCGAATATCTTATTCGCTGCACGGTCTTTGAGGCACATAACTGTTGAGCTTGAAAAGTTATAATTAGCACAGAGCCTCGTTCCAGGGCATTGGTCATGACTAAACCAATATTTTCAAATCCATATATAAGCCACTTTTAATTGCTTGATTTATCGGAGTTGCAATGAGATTATATGCTTTCAAAACACCAGTCTTTTAAAATTTCTAAATCACCGCGTACCGTGGCCTCCAGAATATTAGGGATAATATCGACTTCACCATCGCGTAAAAATTGCTTCTGGTCGAAATTGGGATCGATTTTACACAATTCGGTCATTGTTTCAGAGAGTTCGGTTTTAGAAAATAAGCCAACCATTACATCAGATACTTTATCAGTAAGCAGATGAGAGGCACGTATCACAGGATTTTCGGATTCTTCGTATTTCGTTTTCCAGTCCAAAACTTTATTTACGTAGGTATTGTTATTTTTTCACCCTTTTCCGATATAGTATCTTTGGCAATTTTAGCTGTTCTGGAAATCTCTTCGATTACCTTTTTTAGAAACTCAGTTTTGCTAGCCTCATCCAACGCATCGGCAAACCTTCCTTTTATTGTACCCAATTGCTCAGAATATTAGATGATTTCTGAGCTTCACTTTCAACCATATTGAAT